TTCAATTTTTTTTTGTTATCTTGCTCTGGTGACATTGATGTTACCTCTGTGAATTTTTTCGAGGGTCAGCACATTTTGTGTTTCACTTTTTATTTTTTTCTTTCTTGCTTTGTGCGATTTTTAATGTTGCATTGTGATTTGGTTCAAGTGTATAGAAAAGGTCTGATTCAGTTCTAATATTCTCTTTTTGTGGCTCAATTTGAATTTTGTGATTTCAACTAAGTGTTGTCCAAGAAAAACTACATGTTAGAGGAAGTTTAGGGGTTTATTGGTGAGACTTTGCTCTTCTCTATTTCCCTATGGATATATACTCATTTATTGAGATGTTAGTTTTTTTAAGGATTTTTTATAGCTTTCATAAACTCATTTACTAAAACCTCTGAAATGTGTGCATTCAAAGATTTCAAATTTTTATTTTCATAGCTTTTTATTTTCAAAAAATTTGAATGGTGATTTTATTTTTATAGAATACATTTCATTATTATGTGGTTTTCATTATTATGGGGGTGGTGGTGAAGAATGGATAATATTGGAGAAAGGTGTTGATTGATCTCCTCATGACTACTTTCTTCAGTTTGTCGTCATTAATTATTAAATGTTAGAGTCCTTGGTATTAACGCCTCCACCCTTTACATTTTAGGCATACAACGTGATTCGCAAAATGTTGAAGAGAAGAAAATTGGCTCTTCACAAAGGCTGAAACCAAAAACTAATGCCTTGCGTTCTAGGTGGCTGATGAAATGTTGGAGTGAATAAAAAAAATTCATTTTTAATTTTTTGGGTTTTAATGTTTCTTGCTTCCTTATTTTAGCATATCAGACGCTTACATGATTTATGGTTGTTGTGTATAAAACATGAGCTGCAATAAAATTATTCTTACTCCAATAATTGTTGGGTTGCACGTCAAAGACTCAAACATAGAAACCAGTAAGTAACCTTCCTGTTTGATCTTGATCCAAAAAAAAAAAAACATTACTTTTTGATATGATTTTTCAATGTGGGTTTGAAATTAATTTTTTTTGGTGGTTGGATATGTTGGGCTTCAAAGTGCATGTGCATGTGTATTTAAATTAGTGTGACTCGTTATTTTTCAAATAATTTTTGTAATTTGATTTTGAATAGACTGTGCTAGGCATACTGATTGTGATATTTTTTAAATTAGGTTGTCTTAATTTTTTGAATTATAAAAGATTATACTACACAAAAATCTATATAATAAAATAGATATCAATTTAAATTTTTATTTCTTATGTATTTTTTTTCTAAAAACATCACATTACTCATTTTTATCACATATTCAATCATTTAATATTTAATTAATTTATAATTTAACATGATTTTTATTTCAAATATTATTCATATACAATATTATACACATATTAAAAAATTTTAATATAGTTGAATCCAGTGTTTTAAAACTTGGCCCGTCTCGGCGGGTTGACCCGTTAAACCAGTGAACTGGGCCAGTTCACCATTTGGATCGTTTGTGCATAGAATCCAGAGTCAACCCGTTGAATCGGTTATAAAACCATTAAACCATTCAAACCGGACAAGTTGAACCAAACTAGACGGTTCAATTTATTTAGTATAAATCCTAGAATTTTGGCCCTTTTTGTTTGTCCTAAATTTGATCGTTCTTTTCTCAGCCTCTTGCCTCTTCGAGTCTTCGTCCATGGTGAACAATGTGAGTCTCTCTCTCCCGCTCTCTTACAGTTACAGTTACTCTCTCATTCTCAATCTCTCTTTGAGTCTCGGGTATATTGCGAAAGATCTTAGTTCAAAGTGGATTTTCTTCCATCCATCAATCCATCGACTCGAGTCAACCACAAATACCCAGCAGGCCAGCAGTAGGTATACTCTCTCCCTCTCTCACTCTTTCGTTCAGTCGTTCCCTCTCTCTCTCCTTCAGTCGTTCCCTCTCTCTCTCTCCTTTAGTCGTTCCCTCTCCCTCTCTCTCTCGTTCAATAGAAAGTATACTATGTCGTTCTCTTCTCTATCTCATATCTCTAGTACTGTCTATTTATCTATTTTTTCACTCTACCTTTTGCAATATCTGATTTTTGATTTGTATTTTGTTTACAAAATTGAATATACATTGAATCTTTTATTGATTTGATATTTGGTTTGTATACAATCTGATTTTAGGTTTGTATTTTATACATTGAATGATTGAATGAGGCCACTGATTTTATATACATTGATTCATTGATTGTGATGGTTTGTATTTTATACATTGAATGAATGATTGAAGATTTGTATCTTATAATTTATACATTGAGCACACAATAGGGAAAATTTGTCTTTTATAAATAGTGATGATGCCACTGATTTTTGGTTTGTATTTATATATTGAATGAAATGAATATACTCTCTTTAGGAGGGTGGTACCTTGGTGACATCTTTACTTGATTTATTGGATTTCATGCGATTTTTTACAAGCTTTCCTGCTGCTATAACAACCATTGGAGTTGTAATAGAAATTGAATGCATTGGATATATGTTTGAGGTTTTTGTTTACTTTAAATGTTTGATGCTATTTTTATAACTATTGTGATTTATTAGCCTATTTATTAATTAGAAGGAATCTCATTTGGGTTTTAGCATTTGTTTTCTGGAATTTGGGGTTGTTGTTTTTGACTGCTGGGGTTTCAAAGTTGAATGTCTTTCAATTTTCATCCACTTACATGAAATCTGCAAATTGATTTGATTATGTGAAATTTTATTGCCTAAACTTGTTATTTTTGTTTGCAATAGTTCACAATAATCTTCTTTTCCTTAATTTATTATGCGTGTTGTGTGCTAAACCACAAATAGCTTCAATTCTGGTTCTTCAATTTATATCCTATATGTGGTTATTGTATTTCATAGATAGTGTTCAATTCTTTAAGGTTGAGGTTGAAGGGTAATGCTATAAATTGATCTCTCTCATATTTCAACATTAATCACATTATCCATTTTAAAAATAATGCAATTAATTAAGAGAAAATTGTTTGATCAATTGAGCAGATTAGGAAAAAAAAATTATATTGCTAATGGCTATGGATTAAGCTTGAGCACATTGGGCAAATCGATTAATTGAGTAGATTATGATGGTCTTAAGCTTTCATAGAGGTACTAACTTTACAAGTTATATTTGAAATTGAATAAATTGAAAACATGTTTGATGATTTTGGAATTTTTGTTTGATCTAATATTCATTAAGCATGCTATTTTCATAGTTATTATGATTTTTAGCCTATTTATTATTATTAATAAATATTTATTATTTTTTAATATATTACCGGTCCGACCAGTAATCCAACAGTTGAACCAGTGACCTATTGATCAAGTCTCTTTCTCGGGTTAATGTCCTGTCTGGTTTTTAAAACTATGATTGAATTGATTTTTTTGATGTTTGAATTTTATATTTTATCGTACTTTCATGCACAAATTATGATTAATAATAAACTATAACGTGATTGACACTCTTACGTGTGAGGACTATCCACTAAAGTTGAATGTACTTTATTTCTTAAAAGACTTGAGTGAGACAAAGAAATGCTATATATTTCTTGACGTGATTGACACTCTTACAAAGACCAATTTTACTTTTTGATATGAGGCTGTACGATTGACATCCTTATATGTGAAGACCAATGCAAAGATATCCACTAAAATCAATGTTTTTTTTATTTAAAGGAGAGTAAACAAATAAGATAGACGTTCATTGGTAGTATCATGAGACTTCTAACTATATTCGTTATTTATCTAAAAAACGAATCGAATTAGACTATCATAGCGATCAACCACCAAATCTCAATACGAAATCAAAAACTTGAAGTCAGGCAAAGACTTAAAAGTCATCAATGTGGCAACAAACCAAAAAGGGGTGGACGTATGTTGAGGTCTAGACGACCAAACTCCAAACGTTGAAACTTGTACCAAAGAATTTATGTTGTTTTCAATTAAAAATTATCTAAATATTTTGTGGCTGCAAGACTTGATCCAAGTGAGTATGAAAAGTTGAAAAAAATGACTCTATTATTAATAAGAAAATTCTTATCTATTATGTTTAGAGAATATCATAACTGCAAAGTTTCGCATTATTTAAAATTTTACTTATACATTTGTCAATAAAATACCAATAAAAGAAAAACCCTAATAATTAAGGCTAAGCTTCTGGGATAGATGTAATTTCAATGTGTTCAATATGCACTTTCTATACATGATATTACATTTATGGTAATTATACATATGTTTTTTGTTTTTTCTAATTTTTTTTTATAAATGTTACTTTTTATTTTTGGAACATTTGCAGTGTACTATGAGTGAGATAGGAATATCTATTGGCAATTGAACCAATCATATAAATGATATAATGACCATGGCCAGAGGTAGAGGGAGGATTTTATTGTATAGGGGACGAAACATGAATAAAAATTCAGCAACTTAGTGGTAAAATTTCGAAGTTTAATGTAGAAATTTATCAAGATTTAAAACTAAATTATTATATAAACAATGAACCCAATAATGTTTATAACTGATTCTATACTAAACTTTTAACATTTTTCTTGTAATGTATGCAATCAAAAATTCTGAGACAAAACCATATTTATTTAATTGAGACCATTTTCTTTTATTGTTAAGAAATTGATTCTTAAAAAAATAATATAATATTTTAGGTCAAAACATTTACCATGTGTATATAATCATATTTTAACAGTACCCTCCATTTGTGTCTAACTAAAATACTCAATAGTCTTCTCTCCTTGTTCGATCAAAGATTAAAAGTAGACTTATTTACCACACTTCAAAAAATATTGTAATTTAGTAATTTTATTTCAAATTGTTGTTGATCGGTACTTAATTCACCATAGCCATTAAAGACGGTGTTGTCTATTGGTGTTGCTCACTTCTTCAAGTACTCAATTGCTTCGAGCAACCCCACCATCAAGAAGATGATATTAAAGGAAATGATACTCATCAACAAGAGTCACTCTTGACTTTGACTTCAGAAGTCGATGCCTGTTTTGAAGCTCGACCAGTACGAAAGATTGTTTTTTTCTTCAGAAACACTTTATTGCAGAAGCATTGGAGAAGCCATGGGAACACCCACTACTGTTCTTGTGGTTTTATTTTCTATTCTTCTCATCCAAGTACTTGAGTTCAGTTATAGCATAGCAAGTCACTCCAATGTAAGATGCATTGAGATTGAGGAAAAAGGTCTTGTCAAGTTCAGAGAAAATCTCACTGATGAATCAAATCGATTGTCGTCGTGAGTCAGAGAAGACTGATGTACATGGAAGGGAGTTGTTTGCAGCAACAAAACAGGTCATGTCCTGAGACTTAATCTTCACAATCCATTTGATGATTTGACAAATTTCAGCAAAACCTGCTTGGGAGGTGGGATTAATCCTTCTTTATTCAATTTGAAGCATTTGAGTCACTTGGACTTGAGCATGGACAACTTTTCAGGAACCCAAATTCCAAAATTCTTAGGCTCACTTCAAAATTTGAGGTATCTTAATCTCCAATTCGGGTTTCCAAGGAAACATTCCACATCATCTAGGAAATCTCACGAGCTTGCGTTGCCTTGACCTTGGTGATTATTTGCACTATGCATTGACAGTTGATACTCTGTTGTGGGTGTCTAAGCTTTCCTCTTTGAAACACTTGGACATATCTGAGGTCTCCATTGAGGAAGCTACAGATTAGTTACAACCAATTAACATGCTTTCTTCCTTGTCAGTATTGAAGTTAGCTGGTTGCCAACTTTATACTATTCCCCCTCTTTCGTATATTAATTTCACTTCTCTCTCTTCACTTGACCTCCAATCTAACAGTTTTGATTCCACCATCCCTCTCTGGTTGTCTAACATTCCTGGGCTTTTGCGTCTCCATCTTGATGATAATCGATTTCAGGGGCCAATTCCTGATACTCTTGGAAGGTTATCCTCTCTCACTCACATTGGTCTTTCTGATAACTCCTTTAACACTTCAATGCCTAGTTCATTGGGAAACTTGAGCAGTCTTGTTCATTTAGACCTCTCTGTCAATGAGTTTCAAGGAAGTTTACAAACCACAATAAAGAATCTATGCAGGTTACGCGTGTTAGATTTGTCAAAAAATAGTTTTAGTGGTGAGATTCCAAGAGCTGAAAGAGGTCCATTTGGTTGCCATAAGAATTTAGAGAGCCTTCTTCTTTCTTCGAACTCATTTCACGTTCCAATCCACATGTCAATTGGAAGACTATCGCGTTTGAGAGAGTTAGATGTTAGTAAAAATCTGTTGAATGGGAGCATTCCCTCGATTCTTGGACAACTTTCAAAGCTAGAAATGTTAGATGTTTCTGCCAATCATTTGGCAGGAATGGTATATGAATATCACTTCACTAAACTCACCAAGTTGAATAGATTGTCCATGTCCTTCCACTTCCTAGCTTTAAATGTGAGCTCCCAATGGATTCCTCCTTTCCAACTCCAAGCCATTAAATTGGCATCCTACAATCTAGGGCCTCTATTTTCTTCATGGCCTCAAACACAGACACACGTGATATTGTTGTTCATGTCCAATGCGAGCGTCTCAGATACCATACCTGATTGGTTTGAGAACGTATATTCACGTATCCCCTACTTGGATCTGTCCATGAACCGAATCAGTGGAAAACTGCCAAAATTTGTAGCATCGTAGAACTCCATTTGGATAGCCTTCAAGGCATTATTGGTGAGAGAGTATATGAGACGGCTACATATTACAAAGAATATATTATAGAATCTATAAGAGAAATAGAACGTCCATATACCGCAACAATCCAATTTCTTAAATCGATAGACCTTTCAAACAATAATATAGATGAAGAGATTCCAGAAGAGTTGATGATTTCTTGGGGTTATGGAAGTTGAATTTAGCTGGAAATCATCTTGAAGGAAGGATTCTTGAGACAATTGAAAATTTGAAGAGATTGGAATCACTTGATCTATCTAAAAACGAACTTTCCGGTTCAATTCCTTCAGGTTTGTTCGATTTAAACTTTCTAAGCAACTTAAATTTGTCATTCAACAACTTATCAGGGCGAATACCAAAGGGAAATCAACTCCAGACCCTGGATGATCAATCCATTTATATGGGCAACAGTGAGCTTTGAGGGGCACCACTCCTAAAGAGTTGCCCGGGGGATTAACCAGTTGAGGATCATGATCAACAAGTTGAGGATAATGGTGAAGATTGTTCCGAAATTTTTTGGTTGTATGCTAGAATTGGACCTGGTTTCTTTGTTGGATTCTGGGGGGTTTGTTGTACCTTGCGTTTTAAAAAATCTTGGAGGTATGCATACTTTGGGCTCGTCGAGAATGTCTACAACAGGTTACTTTTAGCAAGAGCATTCACTGCTGCTAGGCTGCGAAGGAAGTTCCGCAAAGGTGAATGTGGAGTATGAACGTCATCTCTATGAAATGGTTACTCTCTCTCTCATATCTATGTACGAATTTAAAATTGGTCAAAGTTAAAAAACTAATGGCCAAAACATATTGATTTATTTAGGATGAAAAGTTTGTTAGAAAAATATAAAAAAATTAATGTAATGTAAGGACTAAATTATCCTTATCATATATATATTTAACGAAGAAAATGGTATATAGGCAAAATAGAAAAAATAAGGCAACTTTCACGCGGAAAAAAAATTCTGCACAATTTATGGGAAACCAAAATAGATGATTGCAGAAAAATTTGACACTTGAGGGCAAAAAATATTTCTCGAGAAATTATACTTCTAGATAATCAAATGAATTTTTTTTTTTTTCATTTTTTTACACTTCCCAGTATTTTAAAACTAACCAAACGAAGCGTGAGGATTTGCGATTTACGCTTACCTAGAGCCAATGCATGGATGCAAAAAATAACATCGCGGATACAGCAAAATCATACTATTAATCCCATCATAATAAAGCCTTCCTGATACAATCAAGGGATTTTTCTATCCCAGCCAATTCACACCTTTCTTAGCCGAATCCAATGATATCCCAGGCATCCCTTGTTTGGATATATAATTGGGTTTTTCGGAGGTTGGTACACCAAACAACACTTCTTATTAAATAAGTCTTTAATGAAAAATATTTTGAGAAAAAGTACTTTGGTGATAGTGAAAAAGCTCAATACCTTTTTATTATACACCAGTTTCCCAAAACAGTTTTGGAAGACTATAAAAGGAAAAAAATTATTTTCTTTTTTTTAGGGATATATTTCAAAGTTTTTGGGAACCTTTTAAAATTTAAAAACTAAAATTAAGAAATTTTAGTATTCTTATCTTAGAAAGTATTAAAATTAAAGAATTTTAATTTGCATTAAGTTTAATTTAGTCAAGTGTACTAAAATTCAAGAATTTTAGAGAATACGTGATTTAACAATTTGGGAGTCAAAGTTATATACTTTCATTTTTAAAATAACAAATTTTATTATTCTTATTTTTTTTGTGTTTTTAGGGATATGTTTCAAAGTTTTTAGGAACCTTTTGAAATTTGAAAACTTAAATTAAAGAATTTTAATTATGTTATCTTAGAAAGCACTATAATTAAGAAATTTTTGATTTTGCATTGAAAAATATTCATGATTTAAAGGGACAACAAACATGTCAAAGAAATATTTTAAGAGTCAAAATGTGTACCTAGACACGATCAAGTTAGGAAAGCGAGGATAAAATGTATTTGAAATAACTTTTTAAAAGTGTTTCTAACATTTATGACTTCTCATAAGTACTATAAAAAAATAATGTTTGGAATAACTTATTTTAATTACATGCAAATAAGTCCAAAGGAGTTTTACCACTTAAATAAGTAAGTAAAAGTAAAAAAAAAAAAAAAAATCTACTTTAAAATCACTTATCTCCAAAATACTTTTTATTTTAGTTTTTTTTTTGTTTGAGCATTCAAAACGATGTTTATTTAACGAAAATATTTTTTTTATAAAGTGTTTTTGAGAAATACTTATTTCAGACGTACTTTTTAATTTTTATAAGTCATCACAAACAAAACCTTAATGACTTAACATTATGAGTTATGTATTTTAAGGCTCATAAGTACTATTTGGTGTACTCCTTCACAATTATCGGGATTTGTTTTGCATCTAAACCAGATTGAACTAAGCCATAATCAAACCAAGCCGGCTATTTGCAACCCCTAGTTATAACTTTTAAAGATCAAATTATATCTTTTTAAGGTGAAATTACAGCTGATCAGAAGATATTCATTATCGATCATTAATTACCTTTTTTTATTTTATTCTTAAAAACTGTAACTTGAGCTAAAAAATAATAACTTTCTGTGCCGTATTGGTATTTTTTATTTTTATATTCTCCTGGCTCACCATCCCCATGGACTGGAACAAGGCTTTTGGTATAGATAAGTAGGTGAAGGCAACAAGAATGACTGCGATGGCCTAAGATTTGGAGATCCTTAAGAACAAGTTGGGTATTAGGATTATACAAGAGCAGGTGACCAGTTGTAGTTTCAACAACGACCTCATCATTCTTCCACACCCCAACTGCTTTCATCATTCCATGAAGCAGTCCGATACTTAATTGCTTGATCCAACATTCCATTGCCTCCTCCTCCCCCATCAATACCCACAGGGCAACTGATGACTGCTCAGCTGATTCCCAGGAATCTAATGGCCCTTGTGAATGAGAATAAATCAGAGCTATAGAGCCATTGTACAACGCAAGGATCTCGTAGGCTGAGTCTTGGTGAATAAGTGGTGGCCCTTCAATCTCTCTGAACTCCTCTTTCCCCATGTCAAACGAAACTAGCTTTCCATTTGGAGACCACCAGTAATAAACACCATTCAAGTAGGAGTCATAGCAAGAATACATCAAATAATGTAGGCAATAGGGATAGGGAGCATCACCCCTGATAGTGCGAATAAATTTATAGCTTCAACTAGGAGTTTGTGCCTATAAATTGTAAACTCCTTAAATAAGGAAGACATCTCTCACACACACCACACCTTGACCTTGCTTTTTCTTTCTCTCTCTCCTACTACTACCTCCTTTAGTGGTTAGGTTACCCATACCTAATCACCCAATCTTTATTTTTTATCCGTTGTAGTTATCGCTTAGTTTATTAGAATTTTTGCCTTTTTTTTACCGTTCTATTCTTATTGTGACTTTTATTGGTCGACTATATATATGAGACTCTACACTTAGTTTGTATTTCTTTCCACTCACAACTATTTTAAGTTGGTATCAGAGCCAAACACAAATGCTAACCTTAACCTAACCTCAACTATACACAGTAGCCACAACTTCCCGTCCTCGACAGCCAACCAACCAACGACATCAACAAGCAAACCAGTCAACAACCTACCCGGCAAAACCACCCAGGCCAGCACCGAACCAAACCAAACTGCTCAGCCTCCCCTCCACCGACTGCCACATCAGCCTCCATTCCACAAACTGCCTGCCAATCCAAAACCCAGCAAAAGAAAAAACAGCAACCCAAACTCCAGCTGCCCAACCACCAGTCTAGCAAATTGTCCAACCCAAAGTCCCAGACTATAAACCAAACACTAGCCCTTTGCTCAGGCCACAACGTAACCCCAAACACATATAAACAACCCAACCAAACTAGCCCCACTGCCCCAACAGAAAACCCAACCTAGCAAATCCATCCAGCAGCGATATCAGCCCCCGTCTTCGTGCTTTGCACTCTTCACAGTGCCACCATCTCTTTTGTGCCACTAACTTCTTTTTCCTAGAGTTACAACATCTAGGATATTTTGAAGAGAGATTGAGTCCTTTTCTCCGTTGATCTACTTTTGATGCAGTAGATACCTTATATTTTCATTAGATTTCTGAGCAACGTGACTTGATTATTTGGGAGCTTTGTGAACCTTCTTTATCTGTCGCTACTATTTAACTGGAAGTTTATTGTTCTCCCTTATTTTGTCCCTCTACTTATCTTAGAGTATTTTCTGTCACGGGCCCCCACATATTATTGTTGATATGGCTACTACTAAGGAACTTGAAACTTCTACCATAGAAACCTCTACTGTTGAGACCCTTACTGTTAGTACTTCCACTGGGAATGTACCGTCTGCTTCTCCCACTGTAATGTTTGACCAGTATACAGTACCTACTGACATAGTTGCATTATCGACAATGACGGGTATGATCTCTTAGAAGGTTACAACACAGTTGTTGACTGACTGTAACTTTGCTGAGTGGTCACATTCATTCCAGCTTTTCTTGGGTCATGTAGGAAATCTTGGTTGGCTGACGGGATCTCACCCAAAGCCAGATGATGATAACCATATATATTCTGCATGATTTTCTAAGAACTGCACTATTCTTGAATAGTTATTTGGCTTGATGGAGCCATCTGTTTGTAAGATTCACCAATTTCATAGTTCTATTTCGAAGCTATTGAGCACATTATCAGAGATGCATTCCCAATCAGAACGGAGAGTTCGTGTTTATGAACTTTCTCAAGAGCTCTTATATACTCGGCAGGGAGAAATGACGGTTTAAGACTATTATGGATATTTGACTCAGCGTTGACTTGAGTATGAGTATTTACGTTATCTTGCTGCTATATCGAGGATAGAGTTTGAATGAGCGGCATTTCTACATCCTCGAGAGTAGGAGGATAGGATTCACAAGTTTCTTATGAGGCTTCATGATGAGTGTAGGGGACCCTGTTCCCAGATCTTGTCGATGTTGAGGCTTCCGTCCCTTTATGAGGTGTACGTGATGATTGAGCAACATGAGCGCAATGTCTGTATTGCATCACTTCTGATTGTGACTTTGACTCCTCAGGTCGACTAGGTGGCCCTTGTAGCTGTTGCAGAGTCTTGTTTAGGACCCTCAGCAGGGGGTGGACAATGCTTGGATTAGCGTCATCAGGGTGCCCCCGATCAGCACAAACAAGGGGATTCTCACCAGTGTGATTATTGTGGCTGTCCATAACATCTCAGAGCTGCTTGCTGGAAGCTCCATCCTGAGCTTAAGCTGCCTTCTAGCAGCCGTACTGCTGTCATTGCTAAGGTACCACCACCTACATTCTTTACTCCTGCCACTGCCCTTTCTTGGCAGAATGATATAAATGCTATCATTTCTCACTTGGATATACTTATGTCAATCCTGACTTCTCAGGGTTCGAGTACTGCTACTATCACCACTACAGATATACCTCGTGCCTATCATGCTTGCGTCAGTCTGTCTCCCATTTGGATACTAGATTCGGGTATGAATGATAATATCATAGTGAGGCGCATCACTTCACCAATGTTGATGAGGAATTATATACACAGTTTCAGCTAGCATATGAGATATATACCCTATTGTTAGTAGGGGTATAGTCTGCACCCAGATGGATTTACATTATATTCAGTTTTTCATGTGCCAAAGTTGCCATGAATCTATTATCTGTACATCAGTTGGCCAGAGATTTTAATTGTGTGGTTGTGTTCTTATTTGATTCATGTAATTTATAGAACCTAAGTAGCAGGAGGATTATTATCAGGGGACATGAGAGAGATGAACTGTATTATCTAGGCGATCCAACTATAGTATCACCAGTTCCTCCACCTCCATTACCTATTCTTGCTTTGTCTTTATTTGTTCCTAGCTTATTTTACCTAGTGCTTACTGTTATAATTTTTCATCATAAACTATTCAGTTGTGGCATGACCGTTTTGAGTATACAAATTTTAAATATTTATATATGTTATTTTCTACTTTGAGCAATGCTTGTGTTGGTGGTAAACTTGACTGTGTTTTATGTTCTTTATCAAAATATGTTTGGACCAAATATATTCCCCATATACACTAGTCACCCAAACCATTTGACCTAATGCACTCTAATATTTGGGGACCCACTCTAGTTACTGCTTTGTTAGATGCTTGATATTATGTGACATTTATAAATAACTATACCCGTTGTATTTGAGTCTACTTTTTGCATAGGAAGTCTGATGTACTCTTTGTCATCACTTAGTTTCTCCAAATGATTAAAACACAATTCGATGTCATTATTCGTGCTCTTTGTTTGAATAATGGCAAAGAATATGTAGTGTCTTACTTTTCTTCTTAGGGTACTCTTCAACATCTCACTTGTCTATATACACTTGAGTAAAATAGAGTTGCTGAAAGGAAAATAGAAGTCTGATAGAGATGGTACGTTGTATGCTTAGAGATATAGGGGTTTCAAAATCTTATTGGTATTTTACTGTTTTGACTTCTATCTTTGTGCAATTATACAATGAGTTGTGTTCTTTAGCATAGAGCTCTCTTACTGGCCTTATTCCCTCAATGGATACTTTTGTTGGTCCACTCTCGTGTTTTTAGCTGCACATGTTTTGTTCAAGCACAACAACAAAAAATATTTTTTGCGACGATTTTAAATTTGTTACAAAAAGTTTACTATTCGCGACGATTTTATAATTTTGTCGCAAATTTGTATTTTTGGCAATTTTTTTTGCGACGATTTTTTAAAAAAGTCGCAAAAAGTCGATTCCCTCCTAATTTTTTTTAGCGGAAGAAATGGCGGGAATTGGCAATTTTTTCCGACAAAAATTTTTTGTCGCAAATAGTTTTTTCTTGTCGCAAAAATAAATAATTTACAATTTAAAGTAAAATAAAATCTAAATTTATATTTTTGTAATTTTTTACGACGTTTTTTTAAATACGTCGCGAAAGGAAGATTCCCTCCAAATTATTTTTGGGAAAGCAACGGCGGGAGTTGAAAAATTTTTATTTGCGACGTTTTTAAATTCATCGCAAAAACCCAATATCTGAGACGATTTAATAATTTTGTCGCAAATAATTATTATGGTAATTTTATTCGCGACGTTTTCATATTTGTCGCAACAAAGTATTCTATCTTCGATGTGTTTTTGAGTTTGCCGCAAAAAAATGTGAGAAATGAAAATTTTTTTTATCAAATTAAATAATAAAAAATTAAAATAAAAGAAAATAAAAATTTTATTCGTGATGTTTTTATATTCATCGCAAAAAATGATACTATCTGCGACGTGTTTTTGAGTTTGTCACAAAAAATGGAGAAATGAAAATTTTCTTGTGTCAAATTAAATAATAAAAAATTAAAATAAAAGAAAATAAAAAATTTATTTGCGACGTTTTTAAATTCGTCGCAAAAAATATACTATCTGCAACGTTTTTTGAATTCGTCGCGAAAAATGTGAGAAATTTCAATTTGTTTTATAAAATTAAATAACAAAAAATTAAAATTAAATTAAAATTTTATTCACGACGTTTTTAAATTCGTTGCAAAAAACCTAATATTTGCGACGATTTTTTTATGTTCGTCGCAAAAATGTGATTTCCTCTCCCTAATACTAAATATGTCGGGAAATGAATATTTATTTACAATAAAAAAAATTTTTCCGCAAATTAAATAATAAAAAATTAAAAAAAAATAAAATAAAATTTTATTTGCATCATTTTAAATTCATTGTGAAAAGAAGTTTTCCTCCTAATTATTTTGGGTGAGGGGAATGGTGGAAGTTTGAAAAAAATTTATTCGCGACGATTTTAAATTCGTCGCAAAAAATCTAATATCTACGATGATGTAGTAATTTTGTCGCAAATAATTATTACGATAATTTTTTGTGCAATGTTTTTTTAATTTCGTCGCAAATCCCTTCACTTTGCCGTCAGTAAATGGCAGAAAATGAAAATTTATTTATGAAAAAATTATTTTTGTCTGAAATTAAATAATAAAAAATTAAAATAAAGGAAACTAAAAATTTTATTCGCAATGTTTGTAAATTCGTGGCAAAAAAATATACTATCTGTGACGATTTGATAAATTTGTCGCAAAGAATTGAGTCGCTTCCCAATTTCTTTTTGGCACAAGGGATGGAGGGAAATGAAATTTTTTCATGACAACATTTTTTTGTAGGAAATTAAATAATAAAAAAATTAAAATAAAATAAAATGAAAATTTATAAATATTGTACGGTGCCTCCAATATGAGGCAGGCAACTCCAGTTGTATGAAAAACATTATGTAAATTGCATAGAACATTAATATAGATCTAAAGAGTAAGAAATTTCTTTGAGGAGTGGGATAGCCGAATTCCTGAGCTAATGAACCACTATACTTTCACTGTGCAAATCATTACATACCCCCAAGAATCTTACCATAATCCTCATGAGCCTAGAAGCTCAGATCTAATTTCACTCATATGTACACATATTCTGCTCACCCATGTTATATTCACCATCAATGGGGCTTACTTATCTACTTGTTTCCTTGTTAGTGGACAATTATACAAAGTGACGTTGTTGACTTGAGGTAACTGTTGCGCTCAAGATTTTTTTTCGTATTTTAGGTTGTATTAACTGAATTGCATAAGGTTAAAAAAAAAAAAATTGAATTGTATTGTATTTAAAAATTGTAATGTTTAAACTTCAGTAAATGATTAATAGTTGGATGACTAATGATTTATTCGACTAATAAGAAGTTATTATAATATGTTATTATTGTCTTTTTATCTTTTTTAGGATAGTATTATCAATTAAATTTTTTTGATAAACATTGACATTTGAAAGTAATATGTAGATTATTAGATCTATTTAAATATTTAATTTTTTTAGCGAATTTGGATATTCACTACATACCTACAAACATATAATGTAATTTGGTGATTATTTAATAATATTGAAGATAAATCCATATTCTAAATGCTAACATCATCTATAATCAACTTATTTAGATAAGAACAAATATCTATTTTAACGGATTTTTATGTAAGCTGTGAAAAATAAAATTTATTGGATAATTGAATTGGACTCGGATCATATTTTTCAAATTGTATTTTAATTGAATTTATATTTTTTGGAAAGAAGATAATCAAAAGTCAAATAATGAATTTATTAGTTGAATTAATGCAATTAATAAAAAAATAAAAACAGTCTTAAAAAAAAGATAAAGTTGATATTATAAAATTTTTAAATGATAAATAAAAAAATTAATTTTTTTTATCTTAAGTCATTTTTAATAAAATAATTTTTTTATTTTTGTATTAAATAAAATTATTATTTCACGATATTTTTATATTTGTTATAGAATATAATTTTTGTAATTTTAAATTAGACTTAAATATTAATTGCAACATTTTTAAAAAATATCACGAAAAGGTAATTTCCTCCTAATTTTGTTTGGCGCATACTATTCGCGACGATTTCATAATTTTGTTGCAAATTTTTTTTTTTACAAAATCTTTTTTATAATTTTAAATTAAACCTAAAATATTAATTGCGACGTTTTCAAAAAAACGTCGTGAAAAGGATATTCCTAAAATTTCCCTCCAACAGACTACTTATCGCACTCTATTTTCCATAGCCTCCATTTCACTTGCTAGCCAAGTTCCTCTCCACGATTTCTCTCTCTCTCTCTCTCTCTCTCTCTCTCTCTCTCTCTCTCACAGAAGCTCCACCTGCCTCTCCCTACCTCTCCATCGATTGAACTCGAAGAAGCTGCCTCTCTCTACCAGTCGTCGAACAACCAGCCACACCAGTCGTTGAAGTCACAAGCCACACCAGTCCTCAATGCCAGGCCACCGCCACCGCCACCGCCATCGCCAGCAACCTAGAAACCCCCTTCGCCCCTCCCCAACCCAGAAAACACCCCCACCCGAAAGCCCCTCCCCAGCCTAGAAACCCCCAGCAATCCTTGTTTTTTGATCTTTGATTCAACTCAAAGATCAAGCCGAAGCTAAGGTACCAATTTGATCTTTGATTTTTCTGATTTTTTTAGCTCAAAAACAGATTATTGGTTTATTTTTTGGGTAATTTATTTTCATGGGTTGGTATGTTTGTTGTGGATTTTGTCTTATACTTTTGTTTGTGGATTTGTTAAATTCTACTCACTTTAATGTTTGACAGTTTTTTTATTGTTTGCTACGAATTTTTGTTATCTGAAGATGAATTAGTTTTTTGGTACCGTTTCTTAATCTGCTGGGTATGTGGGTTTTTGCTAAAAATGTGTTTTATAGTCTGGGATTTTTTGCAAAATAACACTCTGCTTTGATGTATATGGGGTTGTAGATGGCTATGCAAAGTTTCATTGTGAAAATTGTGAATTTGATGAAGAGTGAAAATTTGCTTGAGTCCCAGGGTGGCTCCATCATACTCTCTCAGGTATGGCTTCCATGTTTTGGGATTTTAATTTTCACCACATATGCACTCATGTCAAATTTGGGTGTTGAGCCATACATTAAAATAAATTCACCAATGTAGCAGTTACTCTAGAGTCTAGATAGAAAATGGAAACTTGTTGAGGATATCCATCCATTATTGCTAGAACTAAATTTCAGTTTTCACAATGATGGTACTGGCTAATTTGTTTTGTAGATTGAGAATGAGTATGGGCCACAAGGTAAGGCATTTGGAGCTGCTGGTCATCAGTACATAACTTTGGCTGCAAATTTGGCGGTCGGGTTGGGTACAGGAGTTCCCTGGGTAATGTGCAGGGAAGAAGATGCCCCAGATCCAGTGAATTCATGGAGGGATGGGCTGCATACAAGTATAACCTCCCTGGTATAAATAATCATACTGCTTTATACACTGCTAACACATATCACAGAAATTTGGTATCGAACTATGTAATTTATGTGTGGATCCTATCACAAGGAGAAGGAATGAAAGGTAAGGTTCTCTAAATAAAACACACACTAAACACAACCGTTCTTGGGTATATTATTGTTCCATTTACTTTTCTTCTTCTTTTGACTTCAATGTAACAATTGGAGTTATAGTTTGCCTACTCTCGAAATTTTTGGTATATAATTCTGAATTCTCTTTTAAGGTGAAAATTCCATGGAAAATGAATTTGGATACGAATGAAAAACTGAGCTATCTGGATAAAAGCTGATGTTGATTTTGTTTGCAGAAAGTCAGGTCAGTGAAGTAGGGGAGAATCAAATTGACAGCATTGTTGTCAATGATGAATTGCCGATACAAACTCCTGCTGCAGATGGCAAAACTCCTACTGTTGTCAATGATGAATTGCCATCAAGAAACTGAAAACCTTAGATGCATAGACATCTGTGTGCCCCAAGTATTCCTACATACAAAAAAAACTTATGTAAATGCATGTAGCGTGATGGCATAAATAAAAGTCTTGGTTTCTAAGAAGTACTTTCTTAGACACCTCCAGGATGATCAATAGTTTAAGCAAAAACATGGACTCATTTCTCATTAAACCTCTGAATATGGATGCAAAGAAAGTTCATGTTTTTTGGCTAGTTCTTACAACATGGCTTAAACATGCAAAGAACAAAAACATTGTTTTCCTTAAAAAAGTATTTGTCTTAAATAATCATTTTTCGATCAAAATAAAAGATTTGCAATTTTCTGCAAATAGCATTTGGATAAATGTGTGTCTCATTTTGTCCAGAATGTATTTGCTCATATTGATTTTAAAGCCTGCTCCATAATTACTGATACACTCCCATCTTAATGATAGCCCCCTCACATGTTATGCCTAGATATCCCAACATCTGGCATACAGAGGCTTTGTAAATAGGTTGCATACTTGCTGTGCAATTTTTGAATGTTTAAAAGAAACCACTAGAAAACTAATTTTATGATTCCAGACTCCAAAATGATATAAAAACAATATGTTGCCCAAAAATGTAGGAAAAATGCAATTTTAACAACATAAAGTTTTACCTTCTCTAACGTGTTTGCTTTTCTGCTTCAAGAGATTCTAAAGTACTGCCGGGTTTAGCCAAAATACTGTCGCTTAAGTTTTTTGATAGTCCAGACAATTCATTCAAGCTTGTATGAACCTTTGTGATGATCATGGAAGAATTCATTCCCAATGTGGCTGACAGGTTCTGAATTGTGCTTATATGTTTGTCCACTTTTTGGAGTCTCATTCCTTGATGTCAACAAGATATGAACAAGGGAAAAAAAATTGAAATGCATTAATTCAATTTGAAGTTGATAGAGTCCCTTACGAAGCAAATTGTTGATTGCTTTACTTTCTCATTGTGAAGTCTTTGAAGCTCAATTTGGTACTCCTCAAGTTTTTTTAGTGAAAGATCATTCTTGTTAACTATTACATTTGATGATGAATCATCGTATTCTGATTGGCCTGCTACTTCTGCAGATATTTTCTTAATTTGACTTTGCACAGCTCGGAACTGTTTCACCCTCTCTTCTTTTCTTAATTGCATCTCCCGCAGAGCTGGGGTGATTGAATCTAGCTGCTCTTTAATGTTCCCGCCATTTTCTCTGGCTGTCACAAGCAGAAATACTTGATTCGGCGAAGGTGAGTAATTTTTTTCCTAACAATAGTAGAATCTGGTTGCAATGTATCGCACCATGGGCACAACTTTTGGATGGAAGCCATAACACATTTAGGGAAAATCCACATATAATTGTGTATTTTGTCAAATGAAAAGAGTGTTCTCTGTCAACTATAACATTGTGACCAGTCTCTGAAGTTTTGTTGTAATCATTGAATTTCTTCACTAAGAATTTCAAGTCTGTCTTGCTCTTTAGGCTATAATTGGAGGATAACTGGGTGATTGAGTACTGTGTCTAATTTTGTTCATCAATTGAAAGTTTCTGCAATTTGTACAAATCAATTTTATATATGTTGATGATACATCTATACAGTAAGATGCGATTTTTTGTCAGGCAAATTTCTATTCTCTTGAAAGTACAGAGGTACACTTTAAACTCTCTCCTTCTTTGATTATTTTTTAAATAGTCTGATCACTTACAGCTGGACTGTTCACGTTACTGTTCATTACACATTCAGCTGCATTCTTTTAGCTTATGCTAGGGATTTTGTCATTCTGTCAGCTAGTTTTCTTCTCCTTCAGCTACTAATTCCAATTGGAATTTTCATTCTCCAGCTGAGAGTATTTTTTTTGGCTATATGATTGTTCACGACTCTTGGACTGCTCAACTCGTTTTAGCTTCAGAATTTGGGTATATTTCAGCTGGACTGATTTGTTCCAGCTGATTTTTAATGCAACTGAGGTTTTCAGCGATTTGTTCCAGCTTGGAGAATTAGGCAGCAAAGGTTTTTTAATTGAGTGAGTTGGAAATGGAATGGTGGACATGGTACATACTAGTGATTTGTTTTTATTTCCTTGTGATCAAGATTTCTTTAACCTGCTTACTGTGTTATTGTGCAATTATCTTAGCATCTATGTCCTGTTAAATGTTCAGATGACATTTTTTGTATTTCTTACCGATTTAAAGCTTCTCGGTATAAGAAAAAAACCTTTGCATGGTAATCATCACCTTCTGTTAGTTGAGATTGACATTTTCCTTTTCTTGTGGAACCTGCAGGTTCGGGAGTACATTGATGACACAGAAGATTATGTACACTTCTCCTCGTTCTACGAATACAACTACCTAACCCATTTTCCCTTAGGCCATACTTGTACCCTAGTACTACGGTGGCTTCCGTTGCTTGCTTCAAATAGAGCCGAGATCCTAAATTTGACCTCTATAGCCAAACAAGTCCCAAGTAAACCACCACAAGTGTTAGAGATCAACTTACCTAAATTTAACACGAACCAAACAATCATTAATCTCAAGGGCATTGCAGCGAGTATATCAAATCATCATTTGTTCTTTGAATGCTTCAATTTTGATCACACTTCCATTCAGAAGACTAAAACCAAATTTCAATAAATGGTGCAGATGGGCAATGCTTGGATAGATGATAATACCAACACAAAGGGAATGTATGACTTCTACTGGACACATGCTTTGAATTCTGATGAAATCCATGCAGGAATTGACAAGTAGTGCGACTATATTACTGGAAATTTTTCAGATACGTGCAATCAATATCAAAATCAAGGAGACTACGAATATGGAAATATTGACATCTACAACATTTATGCTCCACTTTGCCATTCATCGGGAAGCAAACCTGGTCCCCCTGGTTCTGTAAGTCCATACTCTAGTGACATTCATGTTTAGTGACAATTACAGAACTCTGTCATGAAACAAGGAAAATAGTGAAAACAATATCATGATAGAAGGAAGATATATATTTTTTTTAAAGGGAGGAGGAGAAAAGAAAGGAGGGGCGGGGAGGTTGCCCTCCACTGCATCATAGAGGTGGTAGTACAACTCCTGTGTTCTGGAGACAATTTCATAGTTAGATTCAACTAAAAGGAGTATTACACACATGGTCATTGACTAGTAATGACTACACTACTATACACAATGAACACCCTTGGTACTTGACTTGAGATTAGAATGAATCCTGAATGAGTTCACAACTTCCACATCGTTTTTTTCTTTTAAATTAATTAGAATGCTCAGAATTGAGACCAGAATGCCATCTAACAAAACCAATAAGGATAGATTTAGGACTCACTATTTGAGCAAACCGCCATATCAGTTCATTCAAGTTAAGCTGTAAATGATCTTATTCTTAAGGTTACATAATCAGGTGAAGGACTTTGATCCCTGATTCGATGACTACGTCTCCTCCTAGCTGAATCTACATGAGGTGCAAAAAGCTCTTCATGCCATGCAAACCGGATGGTCGGCTTGCAAGTATTGTCTTTTTATTTATATTGTAGTATCATACACATGGTAACAAAGGTATCACACATTCCAACCTCAAAATTGATCAACTTCTCAAGTTCGACCTTACGCATTGAACCACGTCATCTTATATCTAGATATGTATCATGTTCAAGCAGAACCACTAACTAGCTTCCCTCCTGAATCTTGCACAGCAGTTTTGGCTGGACAGATAGGCCAACAACCATTCTACCCACAATCAAGCAGCTGATGGCAAGTTGTATCAGTGTATGGGTGTACAGGTAAGTCCTACATGTTTCTTTTTTTTGGTGCTAGTAAGTCCTGCATGTTTCAATTCATATTATTCACCAAATATCCATTATTTCTAGCAATGAACACTTGCAGTCTCTGGTGTGTTGATTTGAATAGTCTTTTGACACAAACAAAAGCCTTAGAAACAGGAGAAGAACTTGGCCATTTCACTAGGGCCAGACTGAATGCATTAAAGAGCTATAAGGAATAATTTGAACCTGTTTTTGAAGACTGGGAAGCTGGTCTGTGTTGCTGGATTGAAAAATCTGGGATGTCATGGAGCACTGTATTATTTTTGTAAGGAGGAGGTGGTTGGATATGAAGTAGTTGCATGGAGCTTGCTTGAGGCTTGGGTGCTGATATGAGACATTAAATGTAATTAGAGATAGAGATGGTTTAAATTCTCTTGAAGGATTAAAGCCATTTTTTTCTATTTTTAGAACTTTATTTTCTTTGATTCTTGTAATTCATTCTTTTGGGAAATAAAATTGTTTTTTTTAAAAAAAGATGTGAAATGTATGTTGAATGGAAAATATGTGAAATGTATTAATTGTGTTAGCTTTTTATTGAACACATGTATTATTGGTGTACAGGTGAAAATTTTTATTGGAATATCATTTTTTATTAATTATTTTCAAAAAAAAAAAAATTTGCGACGAAATTAAAATCGTCGTGAAAAATTGTAGGAACTATCTTTTTTCGCGACGATTTTTATACGTTGCAAATTTATTTATTCAATTATTATTTATGTAAAAAATTATTTGCGACGTTTTTTTTACGTCGCGAAAAATTAATTAAATTATTATATATATTTTTTATTTATGTAAAAAATTATTTGTGAAGTTTTTTTTATGTCGCAAAAAATTAATTAAATTATTTTTTTTTACATTTTTATTTGTGAAAAAAATTATTTGCGACGATTTTCTTACGTCGCAAAAAATTAATTAAATTATTATTTTTTATTTTTTTACGTTGTTAGAATAGATTTTAGCGACGTTTTGTGAAGTTTTAGTGACATTTTTTGTTTGTCGCAAATTTTTTTTTTTGAGACGAAAATAAAATTACGTCACAAAATACTTTTTGCGGCGAGGCTATTGTGACGAACACGCGACGAAAAATAAATGTCGCAAAAAATAATTGGCGACAATTTTTTTATTGTTAGTGTCGAAAAAAATTGTTGCAAAAAACGATTTTTGTTGTAGTGA